CTGGACCGAAATGCGATATGCTAATTCGGATTTTGCATTTTACATTCGGACTTGTGATTTTTTTTTGCTTGATAAGAGTAATATTTATTATTCATTTTTTATTACAAAACTTAGTGGTTTATGAATAGAGTAAATTTGGATTTTTTTGTTCTACTGCTATAAAATTTATCTTTCATTATTTATTCTGTGCAGACCTTGAAAATTATGTTCTTCAATCCATCAATGTAATGAAAATTTTATCCTATTTATTAATCGTTAAGAGGATAATAAACAACGGATAATGAGTATTGTTTATTTGCCTTCGTAATTATTTTACGAAAATTGATGAAAATAAAAAATTCAGGCGAATACATTCTCGAATTTCCAGTTGATTCTTGTCCTTGTGCAATTAAAAATTTTGAAATTTCCGGATTTAATAAATTGAATGAATTCAATTTATTACATTGAATTCATTCAGTCACAGAATCACTCATAATCTGATAAAATTGACTCAATTATCACCCAAAATTTTTAAACCCGTCCGATTTTTCGATTCGAGTGTGGGAATAATACCCACCAACAGCATCCACTCCATTGATCAAACCCATAGCCTATTGATACCCCTATCCCATGACTCCATCGTGAATGAATCAAATGACTGCGCAATCGACGCAGCCGCAGCCGAAACCGCCGCAGTATTACATCCTCTCCGTGACAGTTCATTTAAGGAAATTACCGGCTCTGATGGGCACACGTGTGTCTCTACCTGACATTTCCATGTGTTCTCAGCCGAGGGGACTATAAAATTACTCGCACCTCGGTATCATCCATTCCCCCGCGGTTTATTGTTACGTAAAAATGAAAATATTCGTTTTTGCACTCGACTGGAGAATGCGAGATTATTTTAATGGGTTCCTGATGCATTCGCAGGATATGGATTACGGAATGGAAGAATTATGTCTTCTCGGGGATATTTCAATAAACAAATGAGAAATGCCTTTCGTAAAAATAATTTTAATTTTTTTAGGGCCACAAAGGTTCAATGAAACAAAATAAACGATAAAAAATTCAGAAGTGAAGTGGTCCAACTGATCAAATGAGAAATTCCTTTTGTAAAAACAATTTTCCATTTCTTAGGGCCAAAAAGCTTAAGAAAGCAAGATAAACGATAAAAAATTCAGACGCGAATTGGTCCAACGGTTTAAAGTAGCTCTGCCCTTTGGCCGGGCCTCGCTGTACTTTTGGATATTTTCAGTTTTTAAATTTTTCAGCTAAATTGCATGGAAAAAATTTGAAAATATTCATACCCAGTCAGCATTATCTAAATTAAATTTAGTAAAATATTGATATTTTTTTTTAAACATTTCCCTCTTATAAATAAATAATGAAAATTTTTTAAAAAATTCTTGATTTTTTCACATTTAATTTAAAAAAATTTAGATTTTAATCTTTGATTACAATGGAAATGCTGATTTTCACATAAAACACTGGGTTAAATTCTGATTTTTAACCATTTCTTATTTAAAAAACCAAGACGATAATTGAATTGAGAAAAAAATTAGAATCCCGAATCTAATCGAGTTTTCTGCAATTTTTTTGCATTTTTCAATAATCTCTGAATTAACCGTAAGGGTAGAGCTACTTTAAGTACTCAAAAAATTTCAAGAGTGATGTTTTCTAATTGAGAGCTACAATATTAACCGTAATAAAATATTACAAATTAGGCTATCCCTGCTCCTTTTACCACTTCGCTACTGAAACTGACTTGAACCGTTAGACCACTTCCCCCTGACCGAGTTTCCGTTATTTTTTTAAATCAACCAAATACAATAGACCCAAAAAAACAATGACGTCATCCCTCAAAACAGTAAGAGCCCCTTGTCTCATTTTTGAAGCATAATTCTCGTCCCGATAGCATCGAAAAAGTGTTGCCTCTCCCGATGCACAAAGGATCATTTTTTCTTTCATATTTATTCCCCGACTAGATGCATCTAAACGTCTTCGTGACACTGGGACAATCAATCACGACGATATGATACACTGAACGCAAGAGTTTCGCGGTTGCGCGGTCTGATGTTAATCGCGTAAAAAGTCAGAATGAGCCGGTGAAAATGCTTAGAATGGAAAAAGATGAGGAGTTTATGATCGAGATACGAGAGAGGGCGCATCGCTGTGGCAGCGCGTTCACCACCGTTTCTTTTCTGTAATTATGTCTTTGCGCTCTAGTGGCCGAACTCACGGTTGAAAGGTCAAAATTTGCGCAATTATGGGGAGACGCAGAGCGAGATCGCGGATTTGAGGTAATGATTGTGCGATTGCAATGGGGTCGTCCCCCGTGCCATTGGTGTCACGCGGTTTGGGGGAGTCCGGGAGACGTTACACACATGGTAATTTAATTTTTACGTGGAGTATACGATGGAGGTCGTTCTGAATCTCATCCCATCATGAGATTCTCAGATGAGGCAGGTGGAGAACGTGACTCGTTAAACGCACAGCGACATCTCTTCATCTTTGCGGGTATGATTAATTCTTGGGGAATGTAAATTACTTGGTGGGCACTGCCTTGTCTACTGGGTTACGGAGGTGACGCAGAGATTTTACATTGATTGAATTTTTTCCATGAAATGCTGTCAATTCTTCGATTTTACTTTCGAATAAACTTTCGAAAATTTTGGCTGGATTACAAAGACCTTGAATTCGATTTAAGGGGAAGAGCCAATGGAAGTTGAAGTTTCCCTAAACATTCGAGTAAAGCCCCAATTTTTATGAGGCATGCAAACGAAAATTCCCGAATTTACATGAATTTTTCAGTGAAAATGAATATTCATTCCGAAATTCCTATATCCCCTTCGGAATATTTCCGAATCTAAGGCAGATAGCGAATTTGTCGTAATTACATTTATTGTAGCTCTCAATCGGCTCCACAAAAAAGGTTATAACAACAATTTCGCTGTCTCCCTTAGATTTCGAGATATTCATTGAAAACTGGTTGATACACAAAATTGACTTGTACCCCTCAGAAGAAAAGACATCAAAGCTATTTCAAAATTCTTCAGAAATTGTTCAATTCAGATATAAAATATGTTTAACAAAGACACTAACTAATTAACTAACATTAAGAGACTATTCCAATTTATATATTTTACTGCTATGTAATGTTAAATTGTAATACATTTATTTGTAGCTGAATGAACCCGAAAGGGGCTCGGAAGCTTAATAATAAAAAAAAAATTGACTTCTACCGTTTTACCACTTTGCTACTGAATTATTCTCGTCCCCCTCGCCCCTTTATTACACCACTGCAATGATTTTCTACAGAGAATTTCGCTCAGTGCATCCCATCATAAATAATTTCATGAAATTGACAAAAAATCGAATCAATAGAATAGAATCAAATCCATGTCACGAGGTTTATAAAAAAAATCAATTTACTGGTGCACATGACGTGCCTTTCCCACCGATAATTTCCATGAAATACAATTAATCATCCGTGACATCAATTTCAATCCCTCTCCCCACAATTTCCCGAATTCCCCGATTAATTTATATCAACCCAACAATTTACATACAATCTGACGAAACTTGTGTACCCACCTCCAATAACCCTGGCTAATTGACCTGTCCCCTCCCCCAACAGCGCCACCCCCTGCCCGGCATTCCAAACATTCCCCACCCCAGGCGAATTCAATCAGTTCTCCCAGGGCAATTAATACCCCGAGCTATTCAAAAGAAATGTCAAAAATCTCAATACCAGCGTGTCAAACATTCCCGAAGAACGATGCACATGAGAATGGGAATTGCCCCCGGCGTTGATGCATTCATAAACACAAAAATTCCCGGGATTCTCCAGCGCATTCTCCCGAACGGTGTGCAAGGATCCCTCTGTGCGATCGCTCACACCCGTCGAGATTATTAATTACCTGGTACTCGGGACTGCGAGGGCACGTGAGACCTCTCCCCTTCGCAAACATCCGAGTAATAATCATGATATTCAAATAACCCACAGTCATCAAATTCAATTTACGTGAGGTATTGCACGCTAAATGCGTCAACCGCTGACCCTTACCCACTTGGAAATTAATGACGATTTTTTCTGCGATTGGGGGGGTTGGAAAACTATCTCTCAAATTTTTTTCGGATTTTTTCGGCAGCCCAGGTCAGTGATTTGATTTTTTTTACATTTTTTCGTTTTTTTCCGATAACTCGAGTTCTATTTGTCCGATTTCGATTTATTAAGCGTCAAAATTTTCCATTTTTTACCGGCTATAGTAGTGTATCCAGTAAAAATTTTTTTAGATTCCTAGATGCTCGTGATAACGAATTATCAAAAAAAAAGTTGAAAAAGTTGAATTTTGCAAATTATGTCACTCTTGATTTGTATATTTTGAGCCGTCATACAAGTTGGGGATCCTCCTGGATCTATTTTATTTTCAATTTTTTCTTTTCGAAATTCCGCAAATTTGGTCGAAACACACCAAAATTTGAGAGATAGATTTTCACCCCCCCCCCCCCAACAATTAATTTCCATAATTAGTAGAAAGCTCTTAAAAAATGAATCCGTGTTAAATTGATAAATTCCGAAACCGAATGAATTATTTGTAAAATTTCAGACTACAAACTTTCTGCAATATTCAACTCTATGAAATAAAAATTTCAGAAATTAATGTCTCATTCGATTTAAACAATTAATTAACAAATAATTTCTTATATTGTTGCCTTCATCAATAACATAGAAAAACTCAATAACCTATGAGAATAGAATAAATTAAGTAATTTCAAATTTTTTCCGGATTTCAAAGGAACAAACTTTTGGGCCGTATTGTCTTGGGATATACCTTAAACTATAGAATGCAAAATGCACTTCAGACATTTTTTAAAATACCCCCAGCTCAGAAATAATTTCATCAATTGATCTCAGACTGGATAATTGCAAATGAGGTTTCAACATTAAAAAAAATTCTGAAGTATGCATTTCGCCCTCTCGCCGCTGAATAGACATCGGTAAAAAACAATACACAAAATTTATTAACAAAACCCATATTTATTTATTCACACTCTGTACAAACATATTTTACATAAAATCATCAAGCCGGAGCTCGACAAATAATGGATAAACCCCGGAAATCTCGAAATCCTCTAAAAGCTGAGGTTCCTCGCGGAAAAGTTCATCCTCCAACACTGACGAATCTCCCCACCTCCGTCTCCCCTCGAACCCCACCATACGAGCCCTCAACAGCCTCAGAAACCGTGAGCCGAGGGAATTAAGTACACCTCCTACCTAGAAACCGTAACTCATAAAAAGATGCCCATTGAATTTACCCCAATTACCTAGCAAGCTGCTCGCACACTTCAGTTACAACTCAAGAAAGACACCGTGAACCTCTCGCATCAAAATCCACAACTACCTAATTACCATTCATAACCAACAATTTGATCCCAAATTCCCGAACCCTCACGCACTCAATCCCTAAAAAACCTAAAAACCTAATAATAGTAACATTGATGATGCTGGCCACAACCCTCGCCACCAGGATGAATGCTGCTTTGAACCACCGACATCGTAAAAATTCCTCCAGACGAAGAATGTAATCGTGAGCAAATCCGGCTGTCCCCGAAGTATTCAACCCCACTTAGCAGCGACAGTGTAGAGTGACCTCAGTAGTTCAAGAGCCCTTCCGTCAGACGCGGAAGTCTCCTCGCCCCCCTCGGACTCGCCGCCACTCCCTCTGCTCCCCAGGGAAGCTTCATCCACATTGGACTTGATTCTCCTCGACTTTTTGCTCTTGAAGGTCGTGACAATGGGCTCAGTCGACGTGACAATGGCAGTGGTGCTCCTGGCTTCGAGATCATCAGGAATGTTGAGCCTGGTGAGATCGTCCACAAGCCCCCGCGACTCCTCCGAAGTGAACTGATCAACCGGCATGCTGAGGAGAGCATTGAGCAACTGCTCCTTCTCCTCCTCTCTGGTTTTATTCAAGGGCCCAGTGCAGTGGCTGATCAACAGCAGAACGAGCTGTCTGACCGTTGCATTCTGATCGGCAGTCTTCATCACCCTCATCAAAACATCTGAACTCGTGTCGTTAAGGCCCCCGAACATCTGCTTGGCCCTGACAATCTCGTTCTCCGTAGCATTCCCAATATTATTCTTCAACCTAGTTTTCGCCGGAAACACCGGCTGGGGCAACGAACTCGTCGAAATAACCGACGATGTTATCGTCGTCGTTATACTAGATCTGGTCGTGTAAATTGGCGCAGGCGTTGCTGTGTGCTCAGTCGAATAAACCGTCGGCAGTAGACTAAATGCCGTTGGTGCGTCGTTATCAGTGTTACTCCATTGCCAAGTTGTCGATGGACTCGACCCTCTGTTGCCATTCCTCGGGGTCACACCGCCCGATGCATCCGTCACCAAAAGCTCAGACGCTTCTGGCACTGACGAATGCGTTGTGGCGGAGGGATCATTACCGAAGCTTTCGACACTCGACGTTTGACTGACACCCTCCGACGTCAATCCCTGATTTATACGTTTCGGATCCACGAAGACTGTGCTCTCCCACAATTGTGTCACCGTAGGTGATGACGTCCAGTGATTGTTCAGACTGTCGTCTTTATCAGAAGCCACCTGAGATGACTCGGCATTCGGTCGACCAACGTCATTAGGAGCGCTGTTAAGACGATTGTAATTGTTGTAACTCGAGTAGATGCTGTTGGCTGTAACCAGCGACTCCTCGTTACTATCCTCTGATCGTATCGTCGTTGTATCGTAATAACGGATTCTAAATGGCTCAACTGTTGTCGTTACCTCTGGTGATTCCGTCTGCTCGTCGAAATTCTCCCCGGAACTTTGGTAATTACGATTAGACGTTATTACGTTACCATCGCCAGGATTTTCCGGCGGTAATGTCTGCTCGTACGTAGCTGGGGTCGATGAGGAAACGTAATTATCGCCAATTGGCACTGAATTCACCGGCTTAACGTACTTGCCGTAGGGCTCGTAGGTGGAGTTTCGTTGAATGTCACCCACTCGATTGCTATCCGGAAAGTAATTCTCGTAATCGTTGAGAGCGTCGTTGGAGGTGGGTCCGCTGGGGCCTGAGAAACCCTGGATTCCGTTGGCTGAGTCGAAGGCGTGGTTCACAGCCGAGGCGAAGTCATTTGTGGGATTTAAATAGTCCTGGCTATCGGGGGGAGGGGTGCTTGAGTATTGAGACTCGGAGGTTACGGATGTTGTGTAGTAACCGAAGGCCGCGTCGTCGGTGGTCGTTGGTATTTCCGTGGTGGTTTGGAGAATTGGTCGTCTCGGTGCTGTGACGTCTTCGGAGAAGTCCAGGACCTCGTCCTTCTCCTTTGTGACGGACGGGTACTCCTCGGAGGTTGCGGGGATGTAGGTCGTCGTGGAGAAGCTTTCGTCACTGTCGACCGCCGGTGGCTCGGTCGGTCTGATCTCAGCGAGGATCTTCTTGAAGGTCGCGGGGTCCTGGAGGTACGCCGACAAGGCATGTGTGAAGACCTGGGCGAGTTCCCGAAGTTTCGTGCTGTTTGATTTCTTCGAGCTCGTCACGGGACCCTCGCTCTGCTGGAGGTCGAGATCATCGCTGGAGTCAATCTCCCCACTCTGTTGCTCTGATTCCGTGCTGTTTGGGCTTGTCTCAAGGGCGTTGTTGAGATTGAACAGCTCCGCGTAGGAGTTTATCGTGTGTTCAGTTAGAATCGACGTCGGAAGGTCAACATTCGAGGTCTCGTTGAGCTTTGGTGGAGTCTGAAGCCTCTCGGAGGAATCATCCTCGTGCTTGTCAGAGCCACCAAACTCGTCACTAGCTGTTGCAAAGTACAAGGCGAGAGAATGCAGTGTTGCCGGGCTCGAAGAATGGGGAATAGTCAATCCACTTCTGCTAGTATTTCCAATAATAGTCGGCATTGTGCCCTCCAGACCTCTCAGTGATTCCAGCATATTGAATGCATGCTCATGTTCTATCAGAGATTTAGAATCCGACGGGCGTTTAACGGTTGAATTGGCGTCAGGCAGGTATGTCGAACTGCCGCGCACACGGTTGACTGACGTAGGGTACTGTATTCTTCCAGCTTTACCACTGGATCGATACTGAGAGGATGGCGAGCTATATGTTGGCACAGTGGCTGTGTAAACTGGCGGCCGTTGAGTTGTCGTAGTACTCGTTGTTGTGTATGCATAATTCTTGGTGAATGGCACATAGGGCCCTAATGTCGACATGACCTTGCCATTTTGATAAGTTATACTGGTGTCGTAGGGGGGAGGAGTTTTTGAAGTTTGAGACTGCTGCGAAAGTTGAGCTGTACGAGACTTCTCCGTGGACGGACTTACACCATTTTGCCGATAGTTCTGGGAAGTTCGTGGCACACCCTTCCAGGGTGTCTTAGTTCGTGCAAGTTTATCATCCTGGGTACGAGTGCTCAGTGAATTCTGATCCACCGTGACATCGTTGATAGCTGACTTGGTAATGGCAGTGCCACTGGATGAACTACCAGTTGAATATCTCTGGTTACTCGGTGATGCTCTAGTTTTGTAAGTAGTACGTGGATAATCTCGGGTATCAACGCTGTTATCGTACGTCTCGGAGTTGGTGTAGGTCGTCGGTGGATTTGGTGTGGTTGCGGTGTAGTCAGTTGATGTCACTCGAGCGCCCTGATATGTCCCTGTGATGTCATCCGGGTAGACTGTTTCAGTGGTTGTGCGGTAATCCTGACCGGTTGTGTATAAATTTGTCGTTGTCTCCCAATTGGTTGTGCGATCTCGATTGTAGTATGTGTTGGTGTAAGGTGGGGTGGTAGTCGGAGTTGTTGAGTCATACGTTGTGGTTCGTGGACGATAGATCGGGGCGAATGTTGGATAGGGGTAGTCGGCGATCTTTCCTTTTGGCTTTAGGATACTCTGGGGTGTCTCTTGACGGGGCTTCGGCGTTATTGGTGATTGTGTGGGCCTTCGGGAGGGCGGAGCGTTGGTCGCTGGGTTGTAATAACTGTTGTACTGATTAGAGTTGTATGGCTTATTATATCGATTTCCCCGGGATGATGCGAACGCTGCACTCTCCGCTGGCTGCTGATACTCCCTTATTGGGGCTGGTGTACTCGTTCGGAATGTTGTGGTTTCCGTGTAAGCTGGCGTTGCACGATTTGTGATGCCCTCCTCGTCGCGGGGGAGGGGGCGAGCTTTTGCACTACGAGGATTATCTCGGGCTCCAGAGGTTGTGTGATAATTGTCTACTTGGGATGAGTATTTGTTGGAGCCTCTCTGATCGTAGAACTGCTTCCCGCTGCGCTCCTCGATCAGCTGATTCTGCTGTCTCTCGATGTTTTGGTAATTTGTGGTGCGGGGGGTGTTCTCGCGATTCTTCACGGTGGGCTCCTGTGATGTGGCGAAGCCGGAATTCGAGGCGAGATCGTTTATCTGGGAGAACTGGCTTCCGCGGTTTTGATTGTAGATCTGACTCGGATCGAAGGCCCGGGACTTGAGATCGCTCGACCGCTGGTCCAGTTGGTTCTTCGTCGGGCCGTAGGGATTTGTTCTGGCGTTCTGTTTACCGTCGTAGTTTGAGTTCTGGTAGTTGTTGTCGGATCGGTGGAACTCGGAATTCACGCGTTTCAAGTCGGCACGTTTGCGCTCTTCTTGGGCGAGTTGCTCGGCACTCTGTTCGTAGAGCTCTGTTGACTTGCTGCAGTCGACTTTGAACCACCAGTCGCAGATCAGCTGGGACTGCTGGAAGATGGTGCCGTTGGGGCAGAGGAACGAGATCTTCCTGCCGTTGTCGCAGATGTGGAAGACCTGAAATTACGAGGGGTTATCGAGGTGTCTGGGGATTCCGGTGATTTTGTGGGGTTCATTACCTGACAGTTTGTTTCCAAGTCGGCGTAGTAACCGCCTTTGAGCCCTCGACAGCTGAATTCTGTTGCCGGAATTGTCGTCAGCATCGGAAAGTCAACGCCCGGCTGGCCCAAGCCTGCAATGATCACAGGTCATTAGGATTTACCGGACAATTGAGGGCGGCACTTCGTTACGCGACGAAGGATCGTTATGCCCGGTGTTATGGTCACTAGCTACTCTTGTTTAATGGGAAAACGTGTGATAATGGCACTTGTTAGTGGTATAGCTACCCGCTCCAGACAGCCACTCCTTCAGGAGCTCCTCGTTACCGAAGAATACTGGCGGCAGTTTTGGGAGAGAGAGATTAAGGTCAGTTAGAGTTTTATGGGGAGTTATGTCGCTCAGGGGTAGGGGATTCTCAACCTTGGAATACTTGGTACTCGCCGTTTTTCGCCGGGGCCAGGCGCTTTACCACCTTCTTCAGGGCATCTATGTCCTCCTCCGAGGCCTCGAGACTCGCAAGGTCAAGCTCGGTCAGGAGCTCCGGTAATCTCGCACGCTCGGCGTCTTCCGATTCCTGTGAATTGAAAATTATGAGTGCTGTTTCTTCATTGGGCGATTTTTCTCTGTCCATTTTGCGAGCTTTTAACATTATTTTATGATTTTTTTTTAACACTGTTGGAAATTTTAGTCAGTGTCGTCTGAATTTTCAATGTTGTGAGCTTTAATGCAATTTCAGATGAAAATGTTTATTAAATTTCTCATTTATCAAGAGAATTCAGACAAGTTATTGCCTGAATTTTTAAAATTCTCGAGGTTTTTCAGTGCCGTATGGACCTGACAATCCAGAACTACTTGAATATTCAAGAAATTAACTGATTCGTCAATAAAGAATTCTGCAAAAATTTCATGTAACTTTGAAATTGTTAAAAATTTCAAGCGTTTTCACCTGAAATTTCCAGAGTAATTTCCTAACAGCGACTGGAAGTTTTTTAATCGTTCAATTTAATTTTGGAATTTTTGGTGATCAAGCCATTGCGACATGAAAAGAAAAGTAGACCCTCTGCCGTTCATTACCATTAGCCGCGGGAATCACCGCCCGTCGGGCTCCCCTTTTAGCAATACATCGCCCGGAACAGACGCAACCTCGCCCTCAACCCCATTTTTCCCGTCATCAAGCCGTAATAAATAAATTCCTGCCCTCTCGAACAGCCTAATCACCAGAATTTTACAGCCCCATTATCATCGAAATTGTCCGATTTCTATCGTTTCAACAGTCATTCCGAATGGATGGATCCCCCGGTCCGGAAGTGCGGCTAATTCCAGAGAAAGCGACGTGAAAATTTCACTTTCATGAAGAAGACTCACCCGCCCCCGGTGATTTATAGGCAAAGGTCCTGTGAAAAGTCTCGTCTGTAGCGGCTGATGGATAATATTCATTTCTCATTTATCATTATAATATTCGTAATCAATTTAAAAAATATCAACGATGAAACGAGATTAATTTTTCAATATCACGTTTATCGCTAGTGGGAGAAATTAAATTCCCATGAATTTCGTAATCAATACTGTAATAAAATTCATTTTTAATGAATTTCAATTATTCAATTACTGGATTTCAATTATTTATTAGTCAAATAATATTTAATTTGTAAAAAATTCATTTTTTCTCATTTATCACTATAATATTCATAATTAATTTTAAAAAAGTCAACGATGGAATGAGATTAATTTTTTAATCACTCGTTAATAGCTAGTGGGAGAAATTAAATTCCCATGAATTTCATAATCAATACTGCAATAAAATTCATTTTTAATTATCTCAATATCTAGTAATGATAATGACATCAATTTTAATCATTGAATCAACGTAATCTTTCAGGATTAAATCCATATCAATCACAATTTTTTTATCAATAGTTTCATGACCATATTGATGATTTCATAGTTCATAATCAATTGTTGTCGTAATGACGAATATCCAACTATAATTATCGGTCGATTAAAAAATTGAAAATCTTCAGATGCGCAATTATTGCAATTTCCAATTATTTATTAGTCAAATAATATTTAATTTGTAAGAAATTCATTTTTTTCTCATTTATCATTATAATATTCGTGATTAATTTAAAAAATGTCAACGATGGAACGAGATTAATTTTTTTATCAACAGTCTAACGAACATATTAATAATTTCATATTCCATTATTAATTATTGTTGTAATGATAAATATCTAACTGTAATTATGGGTCGATAAAAAATTGAAAATCTTCAAATGGGCAATTATTGAAATTCCCAATTATTACTCAAATAATATTTAATTTGTGAAAAATTTATTTAAAACAGTATTATCGCCGAGTCATTTTTCCCGGCTAAAACCCCGTCATTTCGAGATGAAAAGACATCCATTTGCGTTGCTACTTTCATTGAATGGCGAGATTCTGTGTCATTGCACTGTGGAGAAATTTCCAGTGACATTTTCCACACTCGACAATCTGCAATCACGCTAACTGTCGCAATTAATTAAAGTGTCTGGTTAACCACTGGGGGCTGTCGTGCGAATCATAAATTTGAATTAATTAGTGTAGCGTGGGTGGAAGGGGCGGAACTCCCAATTAAATTCTCGAAGCTGTGAATGAAGTAATTTCATTAATCGGGCAAATTGACGGTTCGATCAATTTTTTTAACGGTGGTTTTCCCTGAAGACGTGAACATCGCTGATGATGTTGAGCAAATTTATGGGTCTTTTTAGGATGCACACTCGCGCTGGCACTCGCTGCAGCTCTAATGTTACTTGTAGGTAGAAAACACGAGTAATCCGAATGGAGCGGGGCACGCGATGCCATTTGCCGAGAGAGGATCAGACCTTTACCGGTGCAACGTGTTTCGCTCTAGTTTTACCAACGCCAGGTCTCAAGGACTTACGAGGGAAAGGTATAAACGTAAAATGCAGAGGTGCGTTGCGATGCATCCCCGAATGTGGAGCGAGTTATCCCAAATTTATGAGTCCTCATTATTCTTCGAATTAATAAAAAACTAATTTTTTCCATTATTTCGATTCGCATTATTTTCGTTGCAATGATTTTGTTACTAAATTCTGATTCTGTAGTTTCAACTTTTTTTCTGCCCTTTGAATCGATAGGAGTAATTGGAAAATTTGAATTAAACAGATGAAAAACAAGTGGGAAATTTCTCCTGTATTGCGTATAAATTAGCAATATGCTTCCGAATGGTCATTTAGCTTATTTTTTCCATTGTATATTATTCATGGCCCATTTTATTCTCTTGAATTGAATCAATTTCCTTCCAACTAATTGTTTTGGATTTTCTACTTAATGACATTCTAAAAATTTCTGAAAACTTTTGTGAAATATTATTAGGAGTATTTTATTTATACATAATTGAATGCATTCGAAACATCACTTTTGAAGGAACCATCAGAAAGCTAACTAGCCGGGAAATTCATGAAAAATTCGAAATTTCTAAAAATTATCCTAAAAATCGAATTAACCGAGACAGTTATTGTAAGCATCTTCTAACTTCGATACAGTCGCATAGAAACAAACATATTAAGATATGATTGAATTCATTCGAAGCGCAATATCCAGAGATATCTGCGGAATTCTGATTTTCGAAAAATACGAAATTTTGGAAAAATTTCACAGAAATCAAAATAACGATTATTGCTATCGCTTTCATCTTCGCACTCGGTCAAAAGGACATTCCAACGAATTTTTCATCGCGTTACAACTGAATTTTGAAAAAATTCGAAAATTTAAAAAATGAATCAATGAATTAAATTTTAATTAGTGGCGATGGATAGGGCTTGGCAATACCTTCATTTAAGGAAAAAAATGATTCAATTCCGTCGATTCATTAGCGAGAAATGCACACATACGAACGGACATCGTCTAAAAAATGCATTTTAGAACTTTTGGGATCATAATGGATCAATAAAACACAAAAAATAGAAAGCTTAAATTTGAGCGATTACAATGCTTCCATTCGGAAGCAAAAAATCAGAGAGTTAATCTTCGAAGAAGAATTTATATATTTATTAAATTCCTTTTGAGAAGAAAATAATTGAAGACGAATTAACGAAACCATTTTGAATGGCAAATTTGATGATTAGAAACTGTCGATAGCACTCACGATGAATTATCCATTTTTCAAGTAATGTTACACTCCAAAATGGCGTGTAAATACACGAACGACTTTAGAATACCCAGTACAAATTCACATTGCAATTACAAGATGAGACGCTTAGTGAAAGTAGGATATGTACGACTTGTGCCTCTAGAAGCGCCTCCACAGAGGCACCATATACTCACTGGAGATGCTCCCCGTCGTTGTTTTTATTAGCACTCAGTGGTAATAAAGTTACAGGAATAAAAATAAAAAAACAACATGCAGAGAGAAATGAGTACTTCTTATGATCAAAACTGACTGGAGGAAGGGGATTAATATCACACGGTGTGATGGTCATAATAATTATAGCTCCGAGATCAGATAAATATTGGATAAATCCAGAATGATGAGTTCATCGGGCAGAAAGTGGAGAATTACGAAAATATAAAAACTGATATGAAAGTTTTATCTCCGAGGAGAATGACTAATAAAAACGCTCTCATCAGTTTTAATTATGAAATCCATATCCCAACGGCGTGGAAATGGAACTGCAGTTCGTCGTGGAAAAATAAAAATTTTATTTTTACATATGAAAATTTTACTACATTCATGAAACTGGAAAATTGAATTATTTCAGTCGAATTAAATCCCTTTCAGTGTTACCTCTTCATGTGAATTCGTTTGATATTCAAGGAAGAGAGTAATTCTCACAGTAATGGTTTTTTATGCCCTCGGAGCAGAATTTCTGTTTTAACGAATTTCAGGGGAAATGAGAACAGCTTAAAATTTGTACGTCAATATTTTTCGCATATTTTGTATTGATGAAAGAGAGAAACTAGTAGACAAATTTTCATAAATTCTAAAATTATATGAATTACGAGCTATTTTTTTTAATTCGCCTCTCACATGGCTAAATTTGCTTTTTTTATATTTTTTTACACAAATAGTGAATTTTTTTTATATGAAAAAAAAACCGACATCAACTGTGTAGGAGTCGAATTCCAAAAAACTGGCTCGTAATTGTTGTTCCACACATTTCTCCGAAAATGAAAATTTTCGGAATAAATTTTTTGAAAAAAAACATGTTTTGTAGCTCAAAAATTGGAGGCCCTGGACTGTTTTGAGCATTTTAAAACCGACATCAACTGTGTAGGAGTCGAATTCCAAAAAACTAGCTCGTAATTGTTGTTCCACACATTTCTCCGAAAATGAAACTTTTCGGAATAAATTTTTTGAAAAAAAGCATGTTTTGTAGCTCAAAAATTGGAGGCCCTGGACTGTTTTGAGCATTTTAAACATTTTCGGGCAAGCGAGGAATAAAAAAAATTTCTTTACACTAATTATTCGTTTTCAGATCTATATAATCGATCTTCAACGTATGAAAAGTCTCCCTCCAATAACCCCTAGTCTCCCCTTAAAAAACGAAAAACCCCAGGTTTTCCACTCGTGCGAACATCAGAAAGCGAGTCTCCCTCAAACCCCAGAAGCCCCTCTCATCATACCCCTAAAATTAATACCTCAAGTGTGATGATAGGTTACACACTGCGAAATAGATCCCGCAACACGCGAGAGAGTATCCCCTCCCGTGAAATTCCGCGTTAAACGATCGTTAAATCGATACCGTCACGGCTGCTGCAGCGTGCCCCTAAAATATGAACGAAAACCGACGGACGACGAGTCCGGCGAGGGGCGAGAGCGGCTGAAGGGTTGAAAATACGTCGAGTGGAATCGAGTAGACAGAGGTTTAGTTGAGCGCACGGTTGCGCAAAAATCGTGGGTTGAATAACATCCGGTTCAACATCCCCGGGGAAGCGTCGATGTAATGCACCCGCTAGAGAACGACCCCAGAAGGGTAGAGGATGAGGGGGAGAATGAAACTGGAATGGAGACACGTCGTCTGTGTTATACTCCGCTGGAAGTTTATTCGAGTCGCATAACCTTCGGCCAACGGAATTCGTGCAAGTTCACTTCCTCAGGCTCCTTTGTACTCCCGCTGTATATAGAGAGCCACTATTTCTTTTCATCAATCATTTATACGTGTTGTGAAGATACAAGGAGAGATAAAAGTCATGTTGAAACATCACAATGCATCTGGCATCATCTCCATTCCTCAAAATATTTTCCCCCGGCATTTATTTTCCCTCTTGTTATCAGTCTGTCACGATGAAAAACATTTACTTCACTCTTGCGAGATGAATTGCTAACATCAGAGACGATAAACTCCGAACGAATTTTCAACGTGAAATTGTCTCTCGTAATTTGCCGTGTTGATTCTTTCATGTCTAGTTGTGAATACAGAGCCGAGAAAACTCCGTTACAGTTTCTTCGTCCCAGACATTGTCCCGTAAACAACATTGCAGCTCCGTTCAACCGACATCCTGTGCCACTCTTTCGTTCACCTCACCGTGTATCCGTACATCTGTCTCGGAATTTTTTACACGCCGAGGGAGAGACCCTTTTCACCCTTTCTCTTTCCTCCTCAGTCAAGCTCTCTTTCTCTACTCCCTTCCACTGGCATCCACTGACGCTCTATCTCGTGTATTTACGGACATTTCTCTCACGTGTGTCTACGCGTATTGTTCCGTAACGCCCGCAACGCTCGAGTTCGCCGTTACGCTATTGTGTCCTTCGATCGTTTGCGTCTCCCGCACCCAGGATCCAACGACATTACACTCGATTGTCCCTTATTGTGTCAAAACACTCCTCTTCTGTGTCCCCCTGACGGCCCGGGGGGAAATAAGTTCGGGTAATATTGGGTGAAAAGTCAGGGAATGTGCGCTGGACACGGAGAGAAATTTTCGATAAAAGTTATCCTACCGTTCTGTAAAAGGGTATCATGAGCCATCGTCTCCTCATTTCTATTCCGAAATTTAGTAAAATTGATATCTGATGATCTAATTTTATTCTACGTCAGAGAAATTTTATCCCGATAAAAATAATAATTACCGCGCCGGTAGAGTAAAAATTACCGTACCTGTAGGGTAAAATTTACCAATCGTTCTAGAATTTTCGTTATCTACATAAAAATTCAGTGGTGAAGCGGTAAACCGAGTCGATTTTGACTATTAGCCAGTTTTTGCTGAATATCTCGGAATCTAAGAGCGGTAGCAAAATTTTTCTCAAGACTTTTTTTATAACGCTCTATTGGCTCTACAAAAAAGGTCATGACAAAAATCTTTCTATCTCTTTTAGATTCCGAGATATTCGTCAAAAACTAGCCAATAGTAAAAAACGACTTAACCCGGTTTACCGCTTCGCTACTGAATTATTGGACAGGAAGGGTAAAATTTATTATGCGTCAGGATAAAATTTCTCTAACGTAGAATCAAATTCGATCGCGCGGGTCCCCAAATTTTTTTCTGGCCATTCGATTCAGTATAGTTTTGCACATTATTTCTATTTTCATTTCAGTAGCGAAGTGGTAAAACGGTTCAAGTCGACTTATTTCCGAATCTAAGGGAGATAGCGAAATTTTCGTAATCACATTTGTTGTAGCTCTCAATCGGCTCTACAAGAAAGGTTATAACGAACATTTCGCCAGCTCCCTTAGGTTCCGAGATATTGATTAAAAACTGGTCAATAGTCAAAACTGACTTGTACCGTTTTACCACTTCGCTACTGATTGCTATTTTTAGAGTCTTATAGTAGGGGAATTATAAATTTCAACATAAATCCCATAAGAGCCCGTGTATAAGGAAGAATTTGTTTATTTATTTCTGGCTCGACTATTGCGATTATTTTTTTTCAACATCAAAGAATAATTTCTTTGATGTTAAAAAAAAATTAGCTTCATATGTTCTTCTATCAGCCAAACGTTAAATTTTATTCTACATTTCCCTAACGTAGAATAAAATTCTCGATAAAATTTTATCATCATATATTCATTTTTACTATTTCCCCGGGATTCCCTGTTTTTCTTTCCGTCACAAAAGCCGTTACGACGACGATCGGTTCCTCGGAGGGAGAATTCCATTGGCTCTCGGTGGAGAGGCACATAATACCCTGTTACGTCACTCGAGAACTACACTCGAGGATCCCCCCATTGTTTTGCCAATCTGATGCGCCGCAGCACCACCGGAAGCTCGACGCTTCTGTACAAGAGATAACGTAAATATCTTCCTTGCTATGGCCAGTGGAAACTGGCGGACGTCACCGCCCCCCTCATCGTTATTCCACTACTATATTTTTATGGTATAATAGGATTGTTTACGATGATTTTTCCTATCTTTTCTCGATCTTCTATTGATGTTTCTTCATGCACAGAGGAAAGAGTTGGGGAAAAATTAATTACTCGATTGAAAAATCAAATAATTAAGGAGCAAAATGCAGTTCTAGGTCTTGAAAAATGCGAAACAAGAGTTTTCTCCCGCTTGTTCTGAGAAATTTATTAAGAAATTTATTACACGTCACTATAATTCAGTAGCGAAGCGGTAAACCGGGTCAAGTCGATTTTGACCATTGGCCAGTTTTTGACGAATATCTCGGAATGTAAGAGAGATAGAAAAATTTTTGTCACGACCTTTTTTGTAGCGCCAATTGAGGGTTATAAATGAGGTGGTGAGAAAAATTTTGCTATCTCTCTTCAATTCCGAGATATTCATCAAAAACTGGCCAAAAATCAAAATCGAATTAACCCGGTTTAGCCCTTCGCTACTCAATTTGTCCTGAAATTGTCAATTTTATCCGCAATTCCACACGAAAATCATGTCATTAAATGTGCATAATCACTCAATGCCTAGAAATGTATTATTTTACAATAAAAATTTTTGAGCTTTTCTAAATAATTCAGTAACGAAGTGGTAAAACGGTACAAGTCGATTTGACTATTGACCAGTTTTCAATAAATATCTCGGAATCTAAGGGAGATAGCAAAATTTTTATTATAACCTTTTTTGTAGAGCCGATTGAGTGCTACAATAAATGTATTCATGAAAATTTCGCTATCTCCCTTACATTCGGAGATATTCCTCAAAAACTCAACTGAGAGATGAGTCGACTTAAACCGTTTTACCACTTCCCTACTGAATTTTTCTTTCTGTGTCGAAAATTTATGAATATAAGGGTCAAATGATCGAATCCACTCATGTCCATGCAATCAATTAAGCCTCATGATTTTAAATCCTGAATTTTATGAAGTAATTCAGTAGCGAAGTGGTAAAATGGTTCAAGTCGATTTTGAGTATTGACCAGTTTTCAATGAATATCTCGGAATCTAAGGCAGATGGCAAAATTTTTGTGAAATCCTTTTTTGTCGCACTCAATGTGCTCTAGAAAAAAGATTATTACGAAAATTTCGGTATTTCCTTTAGATTCGGAGATATTCCTCAAAAACTCCACTAGGAGATAAGTCGACTTAAACCTTTTTACCACTTCCCTACTGAATTGACACCACTCACGTCCCGGGATACAATGAACTGCGTTCTGGAGTCATGTTGTCACTGGATGTTGCAGCTCCTAGCCCCTCGACATGGAAAAGCACTCATACAACCATAAAGGCTTTCTTTGGATCTGATCCCCAGGTCATATTTTCCCCTGGAGTCCCTCCCCCCACAAGTGCCAAGAGTATTCGATTGTATTCATTACTTCTCCCAACTGAGCCGAGCAAATGTTCAAGTTAATTATGCTAACGAAGTTCTGACCACCTTCTGAATAATGCAGGCAATTCATAAATTCTGATCCCCCCCCCCCCCCCCCCCCCCCCCCCCCCCCCCCCCCCCCCCCCCCCCCCCCCCCCCCCCCCCCCCCCCCCCCCNATATCCGTGATTTGGATGCGCGCGGCAACTTTGAAATTCAGATTACACCGAGAATCACGTGAATTTATTCATCCAATGATACCCAGTATCAACTTGCCAGGGAATATCTCGAAATTACGTGAAAGCTAGCTCACGTAATTGTATTAGTCCTGCAAAGTTTCAACGTCTCTTCTAACTTTGTGTCATTGCATCTGAAAAGTTGTCCATATGAAATTGGAGTTTAAGGTATTGAAATGGAGATAAGTGTCTGAAAATTCGGTTGTGAACAGAAAAAAATCAACTGTTTTTATCGAAAATTCGAATTCAGTGGTGAAGTGGTTTTTAATGAATAACTCGGAAGGTAAGGGAGATAGCAAATTTTTTGTAATAACCTTTTTTATAGACTGAATTGAGCGCTACAAAAATGGTTGCAATGAAAATTTCGGTATTTTGCTTAGATTCGGAGATATTCCTCGAAAACTCAGTGGAGAGCCAAGTTGACTTGAATCGGTTTACCGTTTCGCTACTGAATTGATTAGGAGATTAATGAAATTGTCTTGGGACCGCTCCTCACCTTTGCACAATCGGCCGATCTCAGACTGACTGCGATACCTGTAACGAAAAAAAAATCCATTAAAATTATATTTTTGATTCCCGAATTTTGGATGAATGAATTGTTCGACAAATTCATGATGAAATTGTTTGCAATATGCAAGGCCCATGTCTTGTCGGTGTAAAATTTGTAGTGAAGTGGTCAAGCGGTTCAAGCCAACTCATTCTAGCGCCAGTTTTCGACGAATATCTCAAATTCTAAAGAAATTAGCAGAATTTTTCCAAAAATCTTTTTTGTAAAGAAAAGTGAAGACTATCGAAAACTCAACTGGGAGATCGACTTAAACCGTTTTACCATGTCGCTACTGAATTATTTTTACAACATTAATTGATAATTTTATCAATTATTTTTTCAACGTCGATTGACCACTACTGAAATAATAAACGGAGAGAACGACCTGAATTCCCATGTGAACCTGAATTTATTATTATCTCTGCGCCTGAACGCCTGAACACGAAAAAAAAAGCAACCACACCCAGAAAAATGATTTATTTAAATCAAATAAATAAGTTTATTCAAATAGACCGAAATAAAATGTTTTTTCAAATTGAAAGCAAATTTTTATTTGGTTTTGTTTATATTAAATAAATCTTTTCTCATTATCAATAAATGTTTATTTGATTCAAATAAACAATTTACTTAAATTGAATAAATTTTTTTTCTTGGAACAAGTAAACAAGTTTATTCATTTGTAATAACGACTTCTTTGAAATAAGAAAAAAAATTCAAATGAAGATTTCCATTTGATTTAAATCACCCATTTTTCTGGGTGCAAGTTTCGCCATCAAACCAGACCACTCTCGTGCACCCCAAGAAATTCTCTAACGTCATTAAACTCCACTGCACCCCCTCCCCCCTCACCCTCCGCCCCCCAAGACCTAACAACAACATCCAAGAGCAAAAGCCGAGGCACTCAAGCTCTCAAGAAGCTTTCAACACGTGATTGGAGGCACGTGCCACCTGCAAGGCACCACCCCACATTCCCGAACCCCATAATCACATTCAAACCACGTGATACCCCCCCCCCCCCNCACCTGCCATTCCTCGCGACTCTAAAACTCCCGCGGCCCCCGGAAAACGCTGAAATCCCAGCAAAATGCAAATGCCGAACTCCCCCATTCCATTTTTTTCCCCAAAGACTCGATAAGAAACTTCGGAATTCGCAAACATCCACTCGAATCCCAACCTCATCTCGCTATTAATCAGAGAAAAACTGGGGAAAAACGTTTACTGCCTCTGGAAACGATAATTGGAACTAGAAATTTATCAGTGAGCGAGATAATTACGGGGAACTTTACTCTCAACTCATTTTTTTTCATCTAAGACTCGTAAACAAGAAAATATGATTCGTCTGGCACGTGTAACACCGGTGAGATAATGAGAGGGAAAGGGAGAAAAAGGGGTATTTACGCGAGATGGCAATGTAGGTTTATTACAGACGCATGGGACGCCGGCGAGATGAAATAGAAAGTTTTGATATCTGACGTGTGTTACGTGTGTATTTGCATGCATCATAATCATTTTGTTCTTCACTGTTCCTCCGTCCTCCCTCCGCCCTCCCCCCCCCCCC